AGCTCTACGTCTCTGACGAGCAGTCACCAGCCACATCGACCTGATCAGTGTTTGATTGTTGTGTCTTGTTGCTTTTCTTCTTTTGTCTCTCCTCTATCCACTCACCCCAACCGGTCGAGGCAGAAGGCCGCCCACCAAGAGCCGGGGTCTGTCGGAGGTTTCTTCCTTTAAAGGGAGTTTTTCCTCCCCACTGTCGCCAAGTGCTTGCTCAAGGGGGATTTGTTGGGTTTTCCCTATGTAATAATATTGATAACAGTAAGGTCTAGACCTTACTTTGTAAAGTGTCCTGAGATGACTTTTGTTGTGATTTGGCGCTATACAAATAAAATTTGATTTGATTTGACAAGTCTAACCTATTCTGCAGACATACTAAATAGTACAAACACAGAAACACATGTATGCGTATATAGGGACAAATATGTACAGATAAATATGAATATTACATCAAATATAATACGATATCTGAATATAAAGGTTCTATATGAATGAACTCAACTTTGATGTCACAATTCTCTCTTCTGGTCATAGTGTGTCCTCACAAAGTCTGTAAAAATGTACTATCAGTCTGTAATATCAGTTACTACTCTTCTTCATGGTCTAAGTCAGTGTTTTTCAACCACTGTGCCACGGCACACTAGTGTGCCGTGAGAGATCGTCAGGTGTACCGTGGGAAATTATCCAATTTTACCTAGTTGGTCAAAAAAAAAAAATTGAAAACGAATTCATTATTTTCTGCAAATAATATGCCATTTTCGAGAGTCTGTGTCACTGGCAGAGTAATTATGTATTACTCTTCCATATCAGTAGGTGGCGACAGGTAAGCTAATTGACTGTACTGTGTTGATAGATTGTACTTTGAGACAAGAATTAGTGATGCACCAAAGGCTTTGTGAGCAGAGTGAAGGAAAGAAATCCAAATGTGATTGTTACACACTGTTTTTTACACCGCGAGGCCCTCGTTGCCAAGACTTTACCAGCAGGCCTAGTTCCTGTGTTGGATGATGTTGTGCGCATGGTAAACTTTGTGAAGACACGACCTGTGAAAAGTCGCATTTTTGCATCTTTGTGTGAGGAAATGGGAGCGGAGCATAAAGCCTTGTTG